GTTAACCAATGTCATAAAACAGCATGTGTGTTACTGTTACATGAGAAACTATCTGTTCTGTAAGCCTTCACCTGAAGTACAATAAAATATTAAAAAAAAAAAGAAAAGAAATATGCATTTTACATGATTGAAATATGAAAGAAAATATACATAATTGTTCTTTCAACAAGGTACATATGCAATGATGTCTTAAGCTTTTCCCCATATCATAAAATATCTTCATAGATGTAATGCTCAATGACTATTTGGGCTTACAATATTCTATCATATGGATCCACTTTGTATTTCTGAACTAATTATCTTCGCTGGAAGAGAGATTCTTTAAGCCACTACTTGCTATACTGGTTGACCTACTAAGCATTTTTTCTCACCTCTGGTGTTCTCAGCATCTATAATGTTCCCTGAAGCCCTGGTTGTCCAGTAGTTAAAGCACTCGTCTGATAACCAGAGGTCAGTGGTTCAAACCCACCAGTTGCTCTGCAGTAGAAAGAGGTAGTAGTCTGCTTCCATAAAGATTTACAGCCTTGGAAACCCTATGGGGCAGTTCTACTGTGTCCTGTAGGGTCTCTATGAGTTGAAATTGACTCAACAGCAGTGGGTTTTATTATATTCCCTGGATCTAGCAAGAAATGTTTGCTGAATGAATGAATACACTGTGGAAAAATATTTGCTGAGTTCATGATGTCAAGTCAAAATTCTTGGATATAACTTTATTTTAGTAATTCTTGTTCACAATTTTCTGGGTAAATAAGATAGACTTCAGTTTACTGTACTGATTAGTACTTAAATTAGCAAAAGTTAGCTGAAAGGCCTATGAATGAAAACTGTACATGTGAGACTGGGACGGGGCAGGGTGGTAGGGGAGCAGAGGGATCAGTCTACTCTGGTCAGTTTAAATGACTGAGTGGTAGGAAGTCCCGAAATGCAAATCTCCATGTTTTTTAGGGGATACTTCACACATCATGGTCAGAGATATGAGATAGAGCCTCTGAAAAGCACAGACCAGGAAGAACATGCTGTCCTCACAGAAAGCCAGGAGGAACTTGACCCCGCTAACTACACCTGTGGTGTGAGAAATGTTGGCAGGAAACAAGTCCTGATCCGAACCTCTAGGTCACTCCGTAGCTCAGAAGTGAGTATAGCTCTTTGAAGTTCTCATTCATTTTAATCGTCTCAGCAATGATAAGGGGATACGGGTGTGCTCAACAATGACTGGTATAGGTGAAGCCTGTAATTGCTTTACTTTTCTTCAATTCAATCTTCCTCTCTTTGTAAGCTTTTGAATCTGTCAGGGTGAAAGTAATTATTAACAATATTCTTTTACTCTTTGTAAAGCAGGAAGATTTTCTTCACGCTAAGAAATACCTTAGTCTCTTTTTGGTGCTGGATAATGCCTTTGTAAGTATGAAATATGTGTGCTCCTGGAGCATTAAGTCAACTCTTAAGTTCACTTATCAGAATAAGGCTAGCAACAATTTTAGCTGACAATATAAAGTTTAGCCACCTGATTGTTTTGTCTATTTCTACCTGCCTTGCCAGCAATAGTTTTCACTCACTCACCCTCTTTAATATCCATCTGCTACCAAAATATTCAGATATTGGAGATATATATAATCAACCACAATAATGATAAAAAGAATGGATTATTAAAATATGTTTTAAAATTCTTACTATATGATGTAAATACAAACACAAAACTATATACCTTACAACTTATATATATACAAAGAAAAAAATACTGAGGTCTTTTTTTCCACCTGGAAAATGTTTCTACCTGGAAAACATTGCTTTTATAATCAAATTTTGATAATATTGAATTGGTTTAAAAATTCTAAAAATTATAATTTGATTGATTTAACTTGAAGATAAAAACACTAAAATTTTATATGAATGCCTAATTTTTCTCTTACAAAAACAATCTTACATTTGAAGTAAAATTTATTGAAACACAGAGTCTTACATAATAAGGAAGGCGTTGGAATGACTAGATGTTTAATTATTTTAAAATGTGTAATTTTTTTTAAAATGTGAAATCCTGTACCCTATCAGCTTTCTCCTTTTAACTGGATAGTCTAACAATACTTTGCATATTTTTTTTACAGTATAACAAGTATAAGGGGAATCTACCTGTAATTAGAAGCTTTGTGTTTGATGTGATTAACCTGCTCAATGTGGTAAGATATCTGTCATGTAAACACTTGTTTCCACATAGAAGCCTGGGACTTCCCTATAATTTTACTAAATAAGGGGTTGATAGGGTCACAGTGACTCAACATCAGCAGCTGTAGGAAATTTAACAGGGCAAAGATCAACGTCAAGGTAAAATCACATATATTGTAGCAAAGGCAACTTCTAGAATTTCTATTTTCAAAATGGCTTGGGTTTATCCGTCACTTGCTGTCAACAAAAAGTCTAAAACACTAAAGGAATCATGAACATTTTATAAAGAAAAATGTTCTTTTCACAGATTTATAACACCATAGATATTCAAGTGGCTTTGGTAGGTATGGAAATCTGGTCTGATGGTGACAAGATAAAGGTGGTACCGAATACAGGAGTCACCTTTAACAATTTCATGATTTGGCATCGTTCTAACCTGGCGAAAAAGAAGATCCATGACCATGCTCAGCTCCTCAGGTGAGCACATGCTTTCCAGGACCAGGTGTATGTAGGCAGGTGGATCATTATCCCCAAGTTTTCTTAGCAGGGATTTCTGTTCAGTTATATTTCCCCAGTCAGTTTTCAGAGTGCCTAAAGTTCTACTATTAGCAATTCACTTGTGAGATTATTGGAGGCATGTGTCAGATTAAAAGAAAAAATGAAGTTAGATGTGGATAATCATCTGTGGTCATTATAATGCTGTAGAATAGGAGAAGCTTTTCTAGGGGCTAGTGAATAGAAAAAGGGTCAGGAAACAAAGTTAATCTATAACATAATTAATGGGAGACAATGGTTCTAAAGACTCAGATTGTAACCGTGTATCTGTACCTTTCATACAGTGGGATTAGCTTCAACAATCGACGTGTAGGAATGGCAGCCTCAAATTCCTTGTGTTCTGCATCTTCCGTTGCTGTTATTGAGGTTTGTATACTTACAGTAAGGCTCCCTGTGGTTCTATGTCTTCTATGAAGACCAAGATAATGCCTTATGCAGAGTCGGCATAACAAACTCTTGTTGAATAAATAAATAAAAGTAGAAATAAACCTACTGGTGGATCATTCCACTGAATATTCCTTGGATTTTGAAACATAGTATCCCTTTACATTGGCCCCCTCGGAAGGCACCACTCTAGCTGATGTTAGGAAATAAAAGCAGAAAGATTGGGACAGAGAGAGGATCCAGGTGCCTTTTGTGGCCTGAGATAACACTAAATTGGCCCTGGTGGTGCAGTGATTAAAGCACTTGGCTACTAACCAGAAGGTTGGTAGTTTGAACCCACTTACTGCTCCATGGGAGAAAGACGTGGCAGTCTGCTTCTGTAAAGATCTACAGCCTTGAAAACCCTATGGGGCAGTTCTACTCCATCTTACAGAGATGCTATGAGTTGGAATTGACTTGACGGCAGTGGGTTTCATTTTGGTATTGATGGTCAGAGTTCAGACAGTTAACTAAGGTGCATGTACTTGTCATGTGGCCAGGTACTACAAATGCCCTAGGCACCATATCAATACTTTTTGGAGACCTCTGAGTCTGTAGTATGTTAGTTTTTAATATTTCCCATGGGAAATGCAATTAACAATAGTTTACTGAGAAATTACTGTCCGTTAGTTCAACAAATACCTGTTGATTTCAGGACCCAGTAATTTCAAACATTCATTCAACATTCTGCAATCAGCAATGATAGGGGATGGAGCTTAGTGACCTATTATCTTTCATCCCTCACACAATTTGTTTTTTCTTTTAATTCTGCACATTGCCAATAACTAAGAAATAACTGAATAAAATAAGAAGTAATGGAGACTTCTAATTTTTTCCAGGCTAAAAGAATGAATAATGTGGCTCTTGTCGGAGTGATGGCACATGAGTTGGGCCACGTCCTTGGTATGCCTGATGTTCCATATGATACGAAGTGTCCCTCTGGGAGTTGTGTGATGAATCAATATCTGAGGTGAGACTTTGTCACTCTAGAAAAACCAGTATTCCAGAACCTTAAGGAATTCAGATGTAGTCTACAGATGTTAACTGGATATTTTTCACTGAAGGCTCTGTATCCCTTTAATTTACTCTCCTGCTTTAAGGGCTCATTCTTTAAGATTTCCAACTATGACAAGATAGAGTTGATAACTATGGTGACCATATTATTTCAATCTAAAACAATATCATATTTTCTAAAAATATGAATATAATTAAGATTAGGGCAACATCTTCATATATCCCCATCAATCAATCAATCTATTTTTGCATATTTATTAATTGCCTGCTAATGCCAGACACTTTGCAAGGACTTGGGATAGAAGAACGAATAACACTACCTTGTTCTTCAAGTGCTCACAACTTAGATGAGAAATATGTCCACAAAACTGATAGGCCTGCAATTATTTCCTCACGCTGCTTGAGAAATCTCTCATTTCTCTTCCCTGAACCACAAGATATGTGGATGATAACAAATGGTGAAGTTCTTCTCTGTTGCTATTTAGAACAGAACTGAATCCACAGGGGAATTTAAATTCTTCCAGCTCTACAACAGGATGTCTAGGAAATATTTTTTTTCAACTACTATAGTATACATGCTCGATTGCCCTCCATGTGAAATAAAGTACAATCCTAAACAGATATCAAAGTTGGCATTTCCACTGAACCGAGTAGTACAGTTAGACGAGTGAGAGTCTCATGTCCATTTCTAATGCAAAAGCCACAGCACTCTATATCACGTTATTTCTGATTTTTCTTCTGAGCACAGTTCAAAGTTCCCAAAGGATTTCAGCACAACCAGCCGCTCACATTTTGAAAGATACCTTTTATCTCGAAAACCTAAGTGCCTCCTGCAAGCACCAATTCCTAAGAATATAATAACAACGCCAGTGTGTGGGAATCATCTTCTGGAAGTAGGAGAAGACTGTGACTGTGGCTCTCCCAAGGTATGAAAATATCTGAAGTTTAAAATATTTATTAGAGAGTTACTGGAACATAAGAATTAAGCAGTTTTATTCTACCATCCCCCCTTTTTTAATGGCTTTTTTTTTTTTTTTTTTTGGAAAGTCCTTCAAAAGATAAGCTTGGTATCATAGTGAAAAGTAAACTTGCATTTGTGATTTTCCTACTGATTTTTTAATCTTCTTTTAAAAGGCATTTCATAGGCCAGGATATGAGTATGACATGATCGTAAGAAGTTGAATATAAAGAAGAAAATCATTAGCTGTAACAGGTCACTTATGATCATTCCTAGATCTATTAGTCAAGAACCCTAAATTACATACATCAAAATGATCACTTGCTGAGCACTAACAATTACAGATCTCTAAATAAGTTCCATAAAGAGGTGCTCTTTTCTCATCGAGTCAGTGTATAAACCAAACAGGAAATAAAGCAGAGAAGGAGAAAACAAAACAATCATGTAGACGTGTAAAGAATGAGTTATTAACATACCCATCTAATGGAATTATTATAATTCTGCCAATCTTGGAAAAATTCGACATCTTCACGGCATCAGTGTACTCTAAAGAATGTCTCTGATAGAATTTCGCCTGACAATTGCATATCAGGTTTCTACAAGAGAGATTCTATTGTCTTAGCAATCTTTTTTTTTTTTTTTACTTTTAAAGTTAAAAACAGTAAGAGTTAACATTTAAAGAGATTTTTCACGTCATGCAATCTTAAAAATGCTTTTACATACATCATCTTCTTTATTATTCAAAACGAACCTATGAAATATGTACTGTTATCCCAGTTTAAAGAAATGAGGTTCAGAGAAGTTAAGTAACTTGTTCCAAAGATGCAAAGCTAGTAATCAGTGAAGCCAGTTGTAACCTAAGATAAATCTATTATTTTAGATGGTTTTATGACAATGGGGAAGTCATATAACCTCACTATGTCACAATTTATTTATTCGGAAAGTAGTTGTATTATATTAGAAGATTATATGGTGTGTCTTAATCATTTCAGAAAAATGTTGAAAATATTTTATTAATTGCAATGAGATATATAATTTTATAAGTGGTGTAGTATTTTATAATTTTATAGTTACAGTTAATTTTATCTGATTTTTATTTACTTATATTCCCGTATGGTGTCTTGAGTGGAAGATAATTGAAGTTATGTATAACCCTAGGCACTTCTAACTTAAGCAGATGAATGGCTTATAATCAATGTGTTTTGACTAAAATTAAATGAGAACTACTGTCTATATGATGTCTAAGATCTAACATTATTGAAGTATATTAGTCAACTCCTGTATTGTTTATGCATTTTATTAATTTACTTCTCTTGTAGTTAAATAAACCTAGAAGGCTCAGGCTTATGAACAACTGAAATTTAAATAACTTTGCTTTCTTATCCAAATAGTAACATATGTTCTTTTTATAGTACCCTTTATTAAATAATACTGTTTCCCGTAAGTCTCGTATATCATTTTATTATTCTTATATATGTATTTAGGTCTTTTTCTAGATTTTAAAAATTACTACATTTACCAGCTTAGTTATTATCACAGAAACATCACTCTACTTTAATTATTGTAACTTTATAATGTATTTTAATATCTTGTGTGGCAAATCTCTCCATGGGTCTTTTATTACAGAATTTGCATAGCAATATGACAACTCTTCAGTGCTTCTTCTTCTATATACCTTGGTGATTGTATTTGTTTACTTTTTTTTTTATCAGTTTACTCACACATGCAATTGAGATTCTGATTAAAATACGTTAAATTCATATTTTAATTTGGAAACCACTGACATTTTCACAATAATAAATGGGTATAAAGGTAACAATAAAATTGTCCTTAAAGTTCCTCAGGAAAGTTATAAAGTTCTTTCTGTGGTTATTGTACCACATAAAGTTTGCCCTGAAGTATTTTTCTATTTTTGATTTCACTGTTAGTATGTATAATATTTCCCTTTTATTTTAGATTCTAAAAAATTATTACTGTTTTGATGTTTTTGTTATTATTTTAAACTATCTTAGTGACTCACCTAATATTTTTAGAGTTGACCCTCTGTTTTTTCCAAATAGAGATTTGTATTAGATACAATCAGTGAAAATGTGTTTATTCTTTTCAATTATTATACTTTCATATGTTTTCCTTGTTTCATAGTATTTGCTGAAATTTCCATAAAAATGTAGAAAATAAATAATACTTGTATTCTTTATTATATTTTTGCTATTAAATTTTCTTTACTATGATGATGTATCATTCTGTCCATAGTTTACTTATATACACTTTAATAATAATTGCTACTGAATTTTTACCAACTGAATTTTTCCATGTATCCAAATAATATTAGTTTCTTTCTCCCTCAGTCTCAATATAGTGAACTATATTACTTATTTGAAAAAGTTGAGCCACTCTTGCATTTTTGATTAAAAAAAAAACTCACATAGTTGTAATGGAAAGTTATTGTATTAAACTGTGTTTTGTTAATATTTTATTTAAGTTTTTGCATATATACTCATAAATGAGAAGTGTGTGCATGTGTGTGTGTGTGTGTGTGTGTGTGTGTGTGTTCCTTACCATATTTGACTACCAGGGTTGCATGGGCTTGATAAAATAAATTTGAGGTTTATTTCTCTGTTTTTAAATAGTTTGACTAGTATGTAAGTACTTTTTCTTAAAGTTTTGAATTAATTTACCAATAATATCATCTAGATCAAATTTATTTGGAGTAATTCATTGACAATTCTTTTTCTGGCTTCTTAAGAGGTAGTTTTCCTTACTCATAACAAATTTTTCCCATTATTGAATTTCCTTGATCATTTCCACTGGAATTTGCATAGCAGAATAATTGAAAATGTGGGGTTTCATTGCCATCTTGTACCAGATGGACCAGGTCTGTGGGAAGAACAATGTTCAGCCCACATTTATCATTGCGTATGTGTTTTTAAGGACTGCACCAATTCTTGCTGTGAGGCCAGGACCTGCAAACTGAAACCTGGAACTGATTGTAGGGGAGACACTGTGAATCAGATCACGTAAGATATTTATTTTATTTTTCAAGTATTTTCTCACTTTTATTTCATATTTGAGAAAGATGTGCCAATTATTTCTATAATGCACTGAAAAAATTTGTTATATTTCAAAAATGACTGAATTTTAGAGAGGGAAAAAAAGCCACCATTATGAATCTAAGTAACTCAGGATTGCAGGTACGTATACTAATGAGAGAAAGTTGCTACCTTGGCATCTGAGAAATTAGGACAGCTGAACTCTGTGCTAAAAAGTATATAAATTCTAGCTAGGCAGTGATGAGGTTAGTAAAAATTAAGTTTACCAAAAAAAATTATTAAAAGATTATTTTTAAAAACCTCAATTAATGAGCAAATTTTATTCTTGGTTAAGAGCTGATAACTGTAATCTGCAAGGCAGTCAGAAAATCAATAACATTTAAGAACACACTGTAATTTTTTAAAATTGCATCCCTTTTAAAGTGTCTGAATAAGCTACAATTCACTTATTATTTTTGTATTTTATACAATCCTATATGAGTTGGGCTAGGACAACCAATTTCTCTGAATGTGGCATTTGTTTCAGTGAGAAATAGTCTCTAAATCTAAGAATGAGGAAAAGAAATGGTATCTAGAAGAAAGACTCAGGATAAATTAAATAGAAGGCCCTACTCTCACTCCCCTTTCCTGAATATGGTCTGGAATTCAATCTACAGAGAGATTTTAAAGAGGATAATTGACCCAACCATGAGCCAACTATCACTTCCTCAGGAAAGAACCAGCAAGGTCATGCGTTAGGGACCCCATCGCTCGTTTATTTACAAAGCACCATTTAGCACAGCCTGTGTGAACCACAACATGCATCCACTCTGCCAGATTTTCTGGAAGTTCTTCCATCCTCTTATTGTGTCACAGAGGCCAGAGCACAGCATCTCAGAAAATAACTATTCAACTCTTTAGTGACTTAGAATGATAAGTGGACATGGATATGTCCCCTGCCCAATTACTGAGCATTATAGGCAATCTGGTATTGTTGAAAGAAAACTGGACTTCAGAAACTTCAATTCTAGTCTTAGTTCTGCCACTAACTAGCTGTGGAAATTTAAGCCAAGTTGTTGAATTAGTTTTCTCACCGGTAAAATGGAGTTAATGATTTTGTCTCTCAGTAGGGTTATTAGTATTATTTAAACTCAATAAATTTTTATGATCATTATTAGTATTTTACAATTTATAATAGCCTACCTTTTTTTTTTTTCCTTTTAAACAGAAAATGAGTCAAAAAGTCTACATTCATTAAGAATCTATCTTGTCAGGACAAGAATCCGAAAACTCAAAACAAACCAGGAATCGTATGTGTTTTCATCTTTGTAGTTAGACATAGTTTGTTTTTCATTTACCACTCTGCCGACAGGTAAACCGATGCGCTTAGCCAGCTGCCTATTCTTTAAGTCCTGATTGTTAGTGGATTTTTAAAGACCATGAAGCCACTGTTTAGCTCTGCTCTTTGGAAAACAAAAGAAATTAGCCTTTGACCAAAACATCTCAAAATGCACTGCTGAATTACTCAGAGTCTACCCAGAATTGTAAAACACAAGTGACTTGTATTTTAACCCACTTGCATTTTACTAGTACAGCCTGTGAAAAAATAAGTCCAGCTGATAATTTGAATGGAGAGCAGAGTTCATGTCTCATTTGTTACCCCTCAATGTTCAGCTTGCCTTGCTCTTATATATGTAGTAATTTTTTATACCATATCAAGATTAAAGATAAGCATTTCTCATTTTATTATGTATAGTCCTTTACATATTGTGTTGACTGTCACATATGGAGTTTATTTTTGAAAGTCTACGTGGTTTACATTTTAAAATATCCATCAAGGAATGCTTTATTCATCTATGGATTTAATGAAATATGCTAGCTAAAACCAGTTGCTGTGGTATTAATTCCAACTCATAGTGACCCCATGTGTGTCAGAGTAGAACTGTGCTCCATAGAGTTTTCAATGGCTGATTTTTTGGAAGCAGATCACCAGGCGTTTCCTCTGAGGCACCTCTGGGTATACTCGAACCTCCAACCTTTCACTTAGTAGCTGAGTATGTTAATCGTTTGCACCATCTAGAGACTCCTAATGAAACATAGTAGAAAATAATAATTAAAAAAAATACAACTTTTTGAGGATTTTCTGAGTGGTCTTTTTAGAAAACGAATATTTTTAACATCTTTATTTGTGTTAGGTGTTAAAGCAACCAGCCTCACATAATTAGAACATTTCACCTTGGTCATTGGGCAGTATTGCCCCAGAGAGCCAAGCATTACTGTACCGGGATAAGAAAATTAGATCACTTACCTTTTAATGTCCAAAATGCAATGACTTGAGGTCAGTTACACAAGAAGAACAACTTCTTCAGGTTTCCTTCTTTAAATACTTTGTAAAAGTTACTCATATGTTCATAAATGCCTGTGCTTAGAGAATAGGACTTTATACACACTTCTCAAGATCCGGCTTTGAAACCACTGGCCTCCTGGGAAGCTCTCCTGCTGTTGCTATCTACCCTTCATTCCTCACTGTTATTGGTGGGTTGACATTGCTGGTGCTATAGGGGAATCTGCATTTCAGATGCTGCGGCCCCAGGGCCTGACTGGCCAAGATCTATCCTGACCCCCTGTCAGATAAAAACTTCCGGCCAATTCCTCCAAGAAAAGAAGGCTCCTTAAGACAAATTCTCCCTCCAATTCATGTTCAGGTAGAGGTTTCTTACAGCAAAATTGCTTAAAATACAAAGATTACAACTAATGGTGTGCTGAAAATGACTCATACTGACTCATGAATGCCAATTGTTAAAATTTCAGGAAAATTGTGAGCTGGTTATTAAACTCAGCTATTATTAAAAATCAAACTATATATAACTAAATTAAATAAATTATATTTAAAGCAAAGGAAATACTCAAAATGTATTGCTTCCTAATTATTATGCTACATTTTACTAATCTATGCTTTTAGGTTTATTTATGTTTATTGTATCTGTATAGCAGAAACACTATGTAATGGGGTGCTAGTCACACCTTCTTCTAATTCCACGTTCAGTGACATCACATTGGTACCTTGAAATCAGAATTTATCACAGAAATAGGCAAAAGCTACAAATCAGGGCTTGATTTATTTATTTGTCTATTCTTAAAAGACAGTGAATGGAAAAATCTTGATAATGCAGAATAAACTTAAAAGTGTGTCTTGTTTTCAGCAATATTGCAGAGCACAAGATCACACAAAAATCAGCTGAGTGTCTTTACACAAAGAGGGAGAACTCCAAAAAGGAAATCAGGAAAACAATACCATTTACAATAGCCCCCCAAATGATAAAATGCCTAGGAATAAAACTAACAAGGAATATAAAAAATTTATACAATGAAAACTTAATTCAAGAGACTAAAAGAGACCTACATAAATGGAAGGAAGTTTCCATGCTCCTACAGATACAATGCAATCTTGATCCAAATTCCAAAATTTTTTACTGAACTGGAAAAACTAATCACCAACTTTATATCAAAAGGAAAGAGGCTCGGAATAACCAAAGCAATATTGAGGAAGAAGAACAAAATAGGAGGCCCCACACTCCCCAATCTCAAAACATACTATACAGCTATAGTAATCAAAACAGCCTGGTACTGGTTCAATGATAGACATATAGACCAGTGGAACAGAATCAAGAACCCAGAAAGAAACCCATCCATCTATGGGCAACTGATTTTCAACAAGGGGTTAAAGTCCATTCAATGGGGAAGAAACAGTCTCTTTAACAAATGGTTCTGGCAAAATTGGATATCTGCTTGTAGAAAAATGAAACACGACCCATACTTCACAACATAAACAAAAACTAACTAAAAATGGATCAATGGCTTAAATGTTACAGCTAAAACTGTAAAGTTATTGGAAAAAAAACATAGGAACAAAACTATGAGACCTAATTTTTTTAAAAAATAGATTATCAAACACAACTACAAATGCACTAACAGCAGAAGACAAATTAGATAACTGGAACCTCATAAAAATTAAACATTTATGCTCATCAAAAGACTTCATCAAAAGTGTAAGACTATAGCCTACACACTGGGAAAAAATATTTGGGAATGATGTATGCAATAAAGGTCTAGTCTCTAAAATATATAGAAAACTTGAACAACTCAACAACAAAAAGACAAACAACGCAATTATAAAATGGGCAAAAGATACATGAACAGACATTTCACCAAAGAGGATATTCAAGCAGCCAACAAACACATGAAAAGATGTTTGCAATCATTAGCCATTAGAGATATACAAATCAAAACTACAGTGCGATATCATCTCACGCCTGCTAAAATGATATAGATTTAAAAAACAACAACAAATGCTGGCGAGGATGTGGAGAGATTGGAACTCTTAAACACTGTTGGTGGAATTGTAAAATGGTATAATCACTATGGAAAACAAACAAACTAGGAATAGAACTACCTTATGTACACCTATGTGCACTTACGTACACCTATGTACATATGTATACCTATGCTCCTTGTAGGACTATTCACAATAGCAAAAAGGTAGAAACAACCTAAGTGCCCATCAATGGATGAATGGATAAACAAAATGCAGTACGTACATACAATAGAATATTATAAAGCTATAAAGAATAATGAGGAGTTCTCCAAACATATTATAACATGGATGAATCCGGAGGACATTTTCTGAGTGAAATAAGTCTATCACAAAACGACAAAACGACAAATATCTAGAAGACTAGAATAGGTATATATACAGAGACCAGAGTTCACTGGTGGTTACCAGGAATAGGTGGGGGTAAGACAGGGAATCACTCTCTAGATAGTAGACACTTGTTATTTTAATGATGGGAAAGGTAGCACCAAATATGGGTGAGGTGTACACAGCTTGACCAAGGTAAATTATGTCACTAAGAAGTACACAAGAAAGAAAAATGTTTTTGGTAAAGGATATGACAAATATAAATTTGCAACAACAACCAAAAAATGTGTATATGGTTACATATGTATGGATATATACATATATTTGTATGGGTATGTATATGTGTATACATATGTGTGTGCATATAAATGCATCTATATGTAAGTATATATACATGTATGTGTGTGTATGCATGTATATTCATATGTATAAATTAAACTACATAGGGCACACAGTTACAGATAACTTTTTAGACATAACCAAACACATGGCAAGATTGCTTTTCTGAGTGTGAAGGCTCAGGACGATAATTTCTTGGGACAACTCGGTCAATTGGTATAATACAGTTCATAAAGTTCATGTTCTACATCCTAGTTTGGTGAGTAGTATCTGGGTTCTTAAAAGCTTATGAGTGGCCATCTAAGATACAACTACAGGTCTTTACTCATCTGGAGAAGAAGAGAAATAAGGAAACCAAAGACTAAGGGAAGAAATAAGTGTACAGGACTAATAGTCTACACCATCCACAGCCTCATCCATGGCCTCAGACCAGAAGAACTCGATGATACTCAGCTACTGACCATTCTGATCTGGGCCACAATAGATGGCTCCTGACAGAATGGGAGAAAAATGTGGAACAGAACTCAAATTCTTTTCTTTTTTTTTTTTACTGTATTTCAGGTGAAGGCTTACAGAATAGTTTCTCATGAAACAGTAGTACACATACTGTTTTATGACATTGGGTAACAACCCCACAACATGTCAACCCTCTAAACTCTCAACCTTTTCTTTTTTTGGTGAAAATACACATAGCCAAAGATACACCATTTCAAAAATTTCTACATTCACAGTTCAGTGACATTGACTATGCTCTTCCAATAGCGCTGTTATTCTCACTTAAGATGAAGGCTATAGAACAAAATAGTTTCTCATTTAACAATTACTACAAATGTTGCCCTATGACAATGATTAACAATCTCACAACACATCAACAATATCCTTACTCAACCTTGGGTTCCCTATCACCAGCTTCCTTGTCCCCTTCTGCCCTCTGGCACTTGTCAC